TAATTTTGTTCACATTTCTACTATCAGGAGATCTGAAGTCACCTAATCCATATTGCGACAAATGCTGTAAAAAGTCCAGTAGACATCTATTCAAAGACCAGAACATGGTTTAAACGCATTCCAAGAATTCTCAAAGAACGGTGATGAGCGCAATTTGCACCGTAATTGAATATCACAGCATCACTGGATCGCGCTGAAGCTCATATATTCTCCCAGTCTGCATGCGGGATTATGAGTTGCCTCTGGCAGTAACCTCCGGATTAAAATGCCGGTGTCTGGAATTTTTCGCAAAGATTCGATTAAACCCGACATTCGTATTGTCGCTAAACATCAGGTTGTCCCATAAGTTCCGTACGTTTTGAATTTCGACCGCAACAAGTCATAGATTTCTCATTTCTCGATAGGTTGCAAGGTATCATTCGATAGAGCAAAGAAAGCTTTATAAGATGGCTGTTTTAATTTTGCACCAGCTATGATACATCTCGTGTTTTAAACCGAAAACTAAAAGATTCAACTGTCCAAAAAATCGAGAATAATCATAATTCCGTTTAAAAGAACCCTAGAAAAATTCCGATTTGCTCGCATAAACACTATCCATCAAAGACATCCATATACGCCGTTGCCGTATATTTTCCTCGGTCGTAAATCAAGAAAACGAAGATTTTTATGCTTTTGCCAAAGTGATGCTGTGCTATCCATACATGGATAGTTGTATATACTAGCCTGTAGAAGAACAAACGTAAATTTTCAGTTCTCTACAGGCACTGGCTTTCGAGAAATATGGATTTTGTAGCAAAACACTCAACTAAGGCAGATTACATGGTGCGCCACAATTATTGTGCGTGTTTCATTAAGCGCCATACGAAAATAAGACCGGCTCAGCCAGCGGTCAAGCTTGATATTGTTTTCTTGGTTCTACAACATTGTAACCTGGTTGAAAGAAGTGGAATTGCCTGTTCTGCTTTTTGGTAAAAATTCATAATATTTCTCTTACTTTATCGCGTGCTGCACGCGGGTAGAGGCCCAGAAATTTGCCCAGCATGTATCTTTTTAGTGACCGCTTCTCTCAGGCAAAGATTTCGCTGTACAAAGCTAGTTCTAGACTTTAAGATCACTGAGGTTTGGAATCTTTAGGAGCATTCAAAACAAAAATTATGACTATTCAATAATTTGCGTCAGCTTGCATTTTTTCTGTCACGAACATTGCATTTTACAATTCTTACTTTTCTGAATGAAGACCGATTTAAGATCTTGAAAGTGCTTCTTGTAGAGTAAGCTTACGGCATTCCGTGACATTAAATCCAGACCAAATTTCTCATTGGCATTATTGTGACATTACTTTGAATATTTTGACGCAAATAATTTTGGTGTACCCTGTACATTCGATAATGCTCGAGAACCAAAGCTTGTGGTGAGCTAAAAATTTACGTTTATACTTCTAAAGTCTAGTAGTATACAACTATCCATGTAGGGACGTCACAGCATCGCTTTGGCATAAGCAGGAAAAGTTTCTGTTTCTTGATTTCTAACAGAGGAATGACGAGCAACGACGTATACAAATGTCTTAGATGGATAGTGTTTATGCGAGCAAGTTAAAATTTTTGTAGGATTTTTATGGATAGAGTTATGATTTTTTTCTCGATTTTTTGGGCAGTTAAATCTTTTCAGTTCTTGGCCTGAATGTCGAGATGGATCGGAGCTCGTGCAAAAGCAAGCTAGCCATCCTGTAGAGCTTGCCTTGCTCTGTCGAATTGTAACTTGCCACCTATCTAGAAATGAGAAATGTATGACTTGTTGCGGTTGAAATTCAAAACAGACGGAACTTATGGGACAACCTGATATAAGGTGACGTCTAAACCATTTCCAGTCATCCCTCCACCCTTAGTGCGGAGGTCAAGGACTGTAGTGGTGGTCATCCGAGACATATCCATGACTGGTGCCTGACATTACTTAACTTCTAGCTCAAGCCGCCAGCGTTGAGGGTAGCCTTATCACCGCTACGCAAATCCACAGATAACGTGCTCTCTTACAGCGTGTGAGAACTGCGCGTGTCAGGGTTTGTCCGAATACCTAACATGCAGGACGTTTTGTAAGACCCGGGGCTCACTTGAGTGTTTTTTTTTTGTTGGACCGCGGATGTTCCGACGAAACAACTAGGGCTCACGGCCTTTCCCTTGTGATAACATAGAGTCACGGGTTGCCAAGTCAGTTTAGGGCCGCGGATGGCCACAAGATTTCAAGGTCCGCGCGCTTCCAAAAGGCAATGTTAGGGGCGTGGATACTGGCAATAATTGCCAACAGTTGTCTGAGTAAGAGTTTCCGAGAATAAACAAGTGCCTCATAAAGGCACGTAAATCGCAGGCAACCCGCCTTTGAAGCGTGAAAAAGCTAAACCTCATTCAACAATAGAACTTAAATTTTTAACAGAGGTAATGCCTATTAGCTGATATGTGCCTGCAACTTTTACCTCTAACAAGGGAACGATCCCAACTTAAGGTGGCGAATTGGAATGACCGCATATCATTAGATGCGTCTTGATGAGCTGATTGCAAATTTACCTTCCATATCTGCGACAACGTTATCTGGAAGAAGTTATGAAAGGTTAAAAACGTGAAGTAACGGGGGTTTTAGTGCATAATCACAAAATCCAACTTGGGAGTGTATGACTAGCATGATATTGAGTGTACTGATCTCAAGGAATGATCACACTCTAAAGAAACACAAATAAGTGTTTTTGAACAACTAATTTTCGAGGTATTGCGCTGTATATTTGCCAAACTTGGACCTTTCATTGCTCATAGCTTTTACGAAAGAACTTTAGTTACTTTTTAGCTGTTCAAAAACATTTATTTGCGTTTCTTTTAAATGTGAGCATTCCGCGAAATCAGTACACTCAATACGGTGCTAGTCGTGCACTTCTAAGTTGGATTTTAGAGCAAATTATGCATCAAACCCCCGTTACTTCACATTTTTAACCTTTCATAACTTCTTCCAGATAACGTTGTCGCAGATATGGAAGGCAGATTTGGAATCAGTTCATCAAGACGCATCTAATGGTATGTGGTTTATTCCAATTCGCTACCCTAAGTTGGGATCGTTCCCTTGTAAGTCAGATGCAGCTTTTGTTGTGATTCAAAGGTAGGCTCCGTTGGACCCGGCTATAAATTTTGTAAGTAATAGCTACATTCGACTGCGCTTTATGGCAGTTATGCGGGCTGCACGTTTCTTGAAATATGTTATGCGTACATAACTTTATTTTGCATCCTGAAAAGTTCAAAGGATCCTCCTCGATTTCAAAATGTACAGGTATATATGAGGTACCGCAAAGCCGTTCTTTCTTACAGCGCATGCACAACGGTCTGAATATGCATGATGAAGATAGTCATACAACGCACGTAAGCAGGAAGCAAACCACGACAACACTGAGCCATCTATCCCTATCCGTTCAAGTACTACAAGTAATTTTGCATGGCGGCAAGTCACAGAGTAGGTTGATGCAAGAGTAATGAGCGTTTTCCAGCTTTTCATTTCAACGTGCTAAAACTTTCTAGCAAATCTACATTCCAATGCGATAAAGACCATCATAGGCAGCAAAAGTTTCCCGCAATAAAGCACATCTTCCTATGCTTAAAAATTATGGATTGATAAGCAAAAAGTTTTTTTTTTGAAATCTTATCTTTGACTAATCATAACTCCCTTCAAAATTCGTTAGTGTAAATGATAAATAACCTACCTTGTCGCCCTAACCCAATAGTACAGGTGAAGATGGAAAAGGCTTGGACGGAAAAGATTTGCAAAAAAGAAAAAATCAAAAAGCAAAAATTGTTTCCTTATTTAACCTTATTTCATAGTCCCCAAAATCCCAAATCATAAATTTTTCGATTTCAAAAATGCACTACCCTTACGCTTAGAGAAATGAGCGAGTTTGACAATTGCTTTCTGCAGAACAAATCCATGAAACGCAGATTTGCAACGACTATCTGTTGAGTGTCGATATCTCAGCTTAAATGGTCCCAGATTATATAGGTATGCATAATGTAGGCAATTATCACTGCATAAAAAAGCTGTATTTTCGAAAGAATCTTTTCATTTGCGTTTGAATTCTGGCCAGAAAAGTAAATGCAAAGAATTTTTGGTTTCGGGTGCGGTCGTGTGAAGCTTTATGTCTCAACGAATAAGGCTAGAAGCCTGTTTTAAATGCCATTGGATAAAGCACGAAAAGAGCTTTTTGATAGTATGTTAAGTTTTTTTTTCAAATGGGGAAGTTTGAGAGAAAACGGGTCGTGAAACTAGGGCTAAAAAAGCGCATTACTTTTGCACCAACCTAATACATAGTATTGCTTGAGAAAAAGAGACAACAAATGAGGTGATACTCAACACTTTACTTCTTCTTTTACACTCTTTTACTTTGCAATCGATTTTATGTACAGGAATATTTAAACCTTGTTCGTCTTTCCCCTCTTACGAGCCTGTGGCCGCGGTACAAGGTGAGGTACAACAAAAATGACTCTTACGCATTCACTTTTTTGCTATTCCTTAGTCATCGAGGTTTTGTGGCGGAGTGAGCGATATAAATTCGTAGATCAGAACCCAGGGGTTTTGCTAATCTCTTTTGCTGTTGTCAGTGGTGCGGATCTTTGTGGTTTGTCTTTGGCGTTGTTTGACATCTTGGCGTCAAAGAAGCAAACAAGATTATAAGCAACTGCGAAAAGAGATTTTTGTGCCTCGCTCCTAACCTCTGATGCAAAAAGAAGTACGTGACATCACATTCGTCTGGGATATCTACATAACTTACGGATGCTTTTGTACAAAAAACTGAGCATTTGTATTGTAGGCATTGACATAAACCGGAAGAGTGTACTATAAACATCGTTGAACTACACTACTCATATTTTCAGTTTTCCAGTCGATTTGTAAGGAAATAGAATCCTTGTAAAACAACAGTGCTGTTACTTACCATATTTATTGCATTTAGTTTTAGAACATAGTAGTAATTATTTGCTCTTTCACTCTTGTAAAACTATCTAAAATTTCTAATGTTTACTACAAATCATCATCGGACCCATCATCCATGGATTTCTTGTTTGCGCATTTATACTTTACCATAATCAGAATAAGTAATGTCGGGATTATTATGAGAATAAGTACGCCAGCGAAGAGAGCCAAAAATATGAAGAAGCTCCTGTAAAAATATTTAACTGATCTAGAGTAGTTTGTTTAAGAAAATTTCACCAATTATATCTAGTCAACTCGTCGTCATACTCAAACTTCGAAGCCTTCGCCAACTCCACGTCACCTAAATTACATTTGCAACACTGAATTGTAATTCTTGGTTGATAGGCGACAGATTCAAAAAGTCTCACTGCCCTGTCTAACCAAACAAAGGTTTTTTCCTTAATTGAAATCAAGTAGTGACTTGTCCTTTGAGAAAAAATTACAAACTGCAACTATATGGATTTTCTCGAACACTATTTGGAAATTCTGTGATTGGGGTTGCAGTAAAAATTTAAACTATTAGCTACTGCCTTATATATGGATTGAGCAAAAGTTCTGGTTTCTTTTTCTTTGTCAAGTATGAATTTTTCGACAAACCCCAACTCTTGACTTGTAGTTCGTCGCTAATTTCATGATTCCAAAATATCATTTGTTCTTATCTGCAACATGCTTAGAATGCCCGTTAGATAATCTGTACAGCTTTGAAATGTTCTCGTTGATTTAGAAGAAAGAAAAAAGAATTTGAAGAAAAGATGGTTGGCCGCTGGGGACCAGCAGGGGATTATACAAAAAGCTGGTATATACGGCAACAGCTGTTCGCTTCTATTCATGTTCATAGTGAAGGATGGTGAATACCTATGGAGAGTTTGCACGGCGTGAAATCTAGATATCTAGCTTCAAAATATAAACGTTTTTTTAAGCTGCGATTCCCTCCCCGGGTGGGGGGAGATTAATGCATGCAGCCCTTAGTCATTTTTCTTTCTCCGAGGTTGACGAAAACATTTCAGAATGGTATTCAATTATTTAACCCAACACTGCTAAGCAAGTTGTTGATAATAACAAACAATTCTAAATTGTCGAAATTTTCATGAACCCAACTTTCGACATGTGGCTCACTGCAAAATTCATGAGTTTGAAACATCATTGTTCTTTTCAGAACATGCCTAACACGTTGGGTTAGGAAATCTGAACAATTTTGGAAGGTTTCTGTTGATTTCGAAGAGGGAAAAATGACATCAAAGAAAAGAGATTGTTGGCAGTCGGGGATTGGGGATCATACACAAAGCTGAAGTATGCGGCTTGTATAACTTCTCGCGTTCAACACGTTCATAGTGAGTGAAGCAAAAATACGTGCGGACTGTAAACAGCGTGGAATACAGATATCTGGAGCTTTAGGAGAAACATTCTTTCGAGCTGTGATCCCCTCAGCGGGATGTTAATGCATGCGGCCCTTGATACGGTGCTCTAATTTTAACGAAAATATTCGTACGCAACAAGCGCTCTAGAGCTGTCTTGCAAACCGAGTTCAGTTTACAGTTTATTGGCAGTCACAATCGCAACCACAAGTATGGCATCCGCTCCCGTTCATTAGTCACCAGAGTGGCACTGATAACCGCCAATCCAGTCGAGTATATGTGTGTTTGTATGTCTTTGTGCCTGCGGGCTTCGAGACCTTAACCGATTTCTGTGTATAGTCGAATCATTTCATATGGTCACGTGTGCATTGGACACACCATCTATCTTTGGCGTCTCCATCCTGGACCTGGGATCCCAAAACGCAAGAAGCTGACTTATTGTTGTCGTTTCCGTCATTTCAGGACATTGGTGCTTAAAACAGAAGGGAAACATGAAGAAAGCACTGAAAACATTCACCTAGAGGCGTGTTTGCTCCGAGATTCCAGGATGGGGATGCCAAAGGTGGCAGAGTGTGCAGTGACACACATGATCATATGAAATCATTCGACCGTACAACCCTTGCACCCATTCATCAACTTTACCAATGCTGAGTTTCTCACACTTTGCCCATAACCATTTTGTTTTCGGTCTTCAAACAGACGATGTTATCAAATCCTAGTTCGATCTTTTTTGGAAGTAAGCAATAATTTTGTTGTTGATTTGACTCTGTGCATAATTGATATCAGTTTTATTGATATTCGATTCACAAATAACTAATGCCACAGAATCCATCGTTTTTTGAAGAATTCGAACTTCTGAGTGCGATTACGGCGCAAAGAACCACGGCTCGCCACCCGGCACAGGAAATTTTCAAAACGAAGTCCCCCTTGAATTTTGCTATTTTTTATGAAGTCCCTTTTTACCCCAGACCAAAATGAAAATCCTCTAAAAAACGAAACGTCGACTAAAAAAACGTCGCATTTGTCGTCAAAAACGATATCCCCTTTGCTTTTTGTCCCAAAAACGATATCCAGCTTGCCTCGGTGCCAGGCCCTGCAAAGAACTAACGCTGCTGGAACCTTTTCCATCAAAAACATATAGTCACTAGCTGGCTTACCCGGCTCCGCCGTATCCGGACCAAACTTGGCACACATACACTTCGGGCTCCGGCGGGTGTCACAGTCCACTTTTCGTTATCGATCGATGTCGATTTTACCGATTTTTATCGATTTTTTCGCAGAGTTTACCTACAGGGCTAGGAGTTGGCACAGGGGGAAGTGAGCATGGGGATTCCGAATACAATATTAGTTTTCAGAATTATCGGTTACTTTTATTGATTTTCTCGATTTTTTGTAAATTTTGACATGCGAGGCTGGGATTTTGCACAGGGGGTAATCGAGCATGCTGATCACGAACACAATATTAGTTTTCAGAATTATCGGTTACTTTTATTGATTTTCTCGATTTTTTGTAAATTTTGACATGCGAGGCTGGGATTTTGCACAGGGGGTAATCGAGCATGCTGATCACGAACACAATATTAGTTTTCAGGATCGTCCATTACTTTTATCGATTTTATCGATTTTTTTTGTAAAGTTTGACCTGCGGGGCTGGGAGTTTGCACAGGGGGTAATCGAGCATGCAGATTACGAATACAATATTAGTTTTCAAGATCGTCCATTACTTTTATCGATTTTATCGATTTTTTTAAAATTTGAGCTAGGGGGCTGGGAATTGGCACAGGGGTGTAATAGCATGCTGATCACCCCCCTTGGGGATGATCAGCATGCTCGATTACCCCCCTGTGCCAACTCCCAGCCCCCTAGCTCAAACTTTGCAAAAAATCGATAAAATCGATAAAAGTAATCGATAATCCCGAAAACCAATATTGTACTCGGAATCCCCATGCTCGATTACCCCCCTGTGCGAACTCCCAGCCCCGTAGCTCTAACTTTGCAAAAAATCGATAAAATCAATAAAAGTAATCGATAATCCTGAAAACCAATATTGTATTCGGAATCCCCATGCTCGATTACCCCCCTGTGCCAACTCCCAGCCCCGTAGCTCAAACTTTGCAAAAAAATCGATAAAATCAATAAAAGTAATCGATAATCCTGAAAACCAATATTGTATTCGGAATCCCCATGCTCGATTACCCCCCTGTGCCAACTCCCAGCCCCGTAGGTGAACTCAGCAAAAAAATCGATAAAAATCGATAAAATCGATATCGATCGATGACGAAAAGTAGCCTATGACACCCGCCGGGGCCCGTAGTGTATGTATGCCAAGTTTGGTCCGGATCGGTTCAGAAATGGAATTTTCTATTCGGAACATACGTACACACATACATACAGACATACATACATACAAACAGACATTCAGCTTTATATATAAGATGAAGCGGGCCTACACGAAAGCTTTATCTTGTGACCCACTTTTGCGCCAGTTGCCGCGCAGCTGAGTCGCACTGGGTCATCATTGGCACGTTTGCGAATAAAACTTATTGATTGATGTACTGTTTAGCAATTAAAACTACAATTTTCTTCCGATTTTTTGTTTAGGTGTATTTTTAATGTACAATTCTTGAAATTTCAAAATTCAACACTCACTATTGAAGATAGATGCGCGAATCACTACCCAAATCTAGCCTGAGTTTTCATAGTAAACTATCATTTGAGTTATTTTTTATGCTCACGTTTTGTGGCTCTTGTAAGTGGTGAGTTTGGAAAGCTGAAAGTGATATTGAAGAGAACGTATGCAAGTCCACGATGATGCAAGGTCGTAAGAAATGCAAAAACGTTGTTTGACTGAGTTTCGGAAATGCCATTTTATTTACGCTTGTTCCATATTTGCTAAAAATAATATTTATTCCATGCTTACGGAAGGAAAGCGTTTTCAATCGAACTGGCGTTTCCAAAAGTGACCATTTTGAAGAGCATTGCACGGTGGCTCCAAATCTGTCTTCATTATCTGCCAAGCGAGTGTTTTTTTGGAACGAAAAATGAATGCAGAGTCTAGGTAAAATCGATTGTTACAATCTTTCCAGCGCTTAGATAAAGCAACGCTACTATCGGTATATTACATAAAATGTATCCTTCTTGAACTACGTGAACTGCTTTGATATTCGACATTGAACCATTTGAGTAAATTTGGGCGATTTTGTCAAAACTTTGCCTTCAATTCTTGAATCCGAAAATAGCAAACACGCTTCTCTTGTTAGGACCATGCACGATTACAGACTTGCAAAAAGACGTTGCATTTTTGTAATGCATTCAGCTTTTTAGAGCAGCATCATACAAGAAGCACAAATCTTGCGCGTAATCTAAGGAAAATGCAATGAACAATCCAAAACCACTTGAATTCAGCAATCTTGAAGCGAATACATCAAATACCCATAATTTCTTGGAATTTGAAACTTCCAAAAGTGAGTTACGATTTAACATCAAACTCACAGAGCAAATGGGCATTCGGATTCGATAAATTAAAAGATTTTGGTGGATGCAACGTGGGAAGAGTTCAAAATCATGGACTATGTTGACTTCATCCCCGAGGCTCTAATAATCAGAACAAAAAAAAAGAGAACTGTTACGCTTCTTAACAGTAAATATTTAGCCAAAAAAATATTTTTCCAAATTTTGAAAAGTAAGCTACTAGAAATAGCATTTTATTCTGTCCAAAAAATCTTATTTTGTTTATTTCTACAATACCGCTCACAGAATGTGCAAAAATTCCGTGAACATCGCAAAATTCCAAAAATTCCACGAACTTTCCGGAATTTCGCGAAACTCCTGAAAGTTCGCGAAGTTTCGCGAAATTCCAGGAATTTCACGAAATTTTCGGAATTTTGCGATATTCAGGGAAATTTTGCACATTGTGTGAGCGGTATTGTACTCGACGTGCTAACAA